AATTTTCTGAGGAAACACCATACTGATTTCCAAACTGGATGCACAAGTTTGTACTCCCATCTGCAATGGAAGAGTGTTTCCCTTATTCCACATCCTCTCCAGCATAAGCTGTCATCAGAGTTTTTCATGTTAGCAATTCTGATAGGTGTAAGATGGATTCTCAGAATCATTTGATTTTCATTTTCCTGAGTATTAAGGTTGTTGTTCAATACCTTAAATCTTCTTCAGCCTTGCCCCAAGTGACAAAAGGAACCATCACTCGAAAAAAGAGGATATCATTTCAAAGCTTCTAAATTTTTTGATACAATTTTATGTCACGAGAAATCTATAGGTTGCATATGATATTATAAAAATCATTTTATTGGTAACAATGTTTTATTAGTACAGCTTTTTATCTCAATTCACAGTGTTCAAACTCACTAATGTCTGATGTCTTTCCCTGTTTTATTATTTTGGAAAAGAGTAACATTAAAATCTTAAAAACCTGAAAAAACTGTCTTTCAGCCGTTTGAGGTTCTTCTGTTGAGAATTCTCTGTTTAGATATGTACTATATTGAATAAATATGGAGAGAGTGAATAGCCTTGTCTTGTTCATTATTTCAATGTGATCACTTTGAATTTCTCTCTGTTTGATGTTGTCTGTAGGTTTGCTGTGATTTGCCTTTATTATATTTGGGTATGTTCCTTGTATCTCAGATTTCTCAGATACTTCTATTATGAAGGGGTATTGAATTTTGTCAAAGGATTTTTCAGCATCTAATGAGATGATCGTGTGTTTATTTATATGGTGGATTACTTTGTATGTTGAACCATCCCTGAATCTCTGTGCATTTCTGGGATATTGATTTTTTCTTAACTTTCTTTAAGGGATTCATTTATTTCTTCCAGTTTCTTTGTCTTTTCCTCCATTTTTATTTCATTTTCTTTTCATAAAGCTATTTTTAAGGTCATTTTCTTGTGCTTCATCTGAGTTGGGATGCTCTGGTTTTGTTGTTGTAGAACCACTAGTTTCTTGTGCTGCAATACTGCCCTTTATGCTGTTGAATGTATGCTCACATTGTCCTCTACTTATCTCTACCTGGGATTGGTGCATGTGGAGTCTGTATCTCTGTGGGTCTCTCTTTCTGCATTAAGTGGAGATGTGACCTATAGTTCCAGGAGTCGATCTTCCTCCAGGTACATATGTTGCCTGTGACTCTGGTGGTTGTTCTTCCTCCAGATGTAGTTGGGGCATGTGACTCTTTTGATTGCAGATGCAGCAGGGAATGTTTTTATAGGGGTGGAGAGAGTGCTCTTCCCTGGCACTGGAGCAATGGTAGATGAGTTGGGACACAGGATGTACACCCATGGCCTAGGGCCTAGAGAGCAGGGCTGTCCAGTTGGTAGCTTAGACCCTCACCTTTTCCTCCAGGTGTAGGTGGGGGGCAGGACTCCCTTGGTTGCTGGTGCAGCAGGGAATTTTGGGGGGAGGGGTGGATAGGACATTGTTGCCAGTCACCAGAGCTGTAGTTGATGGTTTGAGGCACAGAATGGCTTCTGTGTGCTAGAGCATAGGGAGCAGGGCTGTCTAGTCTAGAGCTCAGACATTCAACTCTTCCTTCAGGTATACCTGGGGCAAAGCTTTTCTTTCTTTCTTTTTTTTAATTTTTAACAGATAATTAACATGACATTAGAAGACATGCTTCCTGCTTTCATACACACATTATAATCAAAGGATAAATTAACATTTTTAGCTTGAATGATTTATCAACATTCATCAAATAGAACCAACTATCAGTGTCCTGAAGCAGATGACATATAGCTTTTCAGGATACATTAGTATGAATATGGTGTGATAAGCAGCTTTTATGTGATGCTTCTAGGACTTTGTACTCATTAGGAATAGAAAACACTCATACTTACCCTAATCCCCTAGAGTCCACAGAATTTAAGAGCAGCCTGGAAGAATGACTTCTGGGCTTCATGTTAACATCTGTCCCAAGAGTGATGACGGTTGTTAGGAAAACTTTTCTCTGTATTCACAAGTTATCTATGAAGATGCAAAATTAAGTGAGATGTCAATTGCTAGTTCTTGACTAAGATTTTATATTTTTATGCAGAAAATTACTTTGTTTGGTTTTGAGTAACTTAAAGCAAAACTAAACACTTAACAGTTTATTTGAGTGGCCTTGTGAGAGAAGCTTTGTTAATGAGGAGGAAGAAAACAAGGTCTTATACACTCAAGAAATCATTACCATGTAGCTGGTGCTGCAATATGCAGGCTTTCTCCAAGTCTCAAGATCAGATACACTGAGTTTTTGAAGATTTTCCTTCAACAACATATTTAGAGATTTGTCATCCTACCAGTATGCACGAAATTCTTCTCCTTACCTCATTCTCTTATTTTTTTGTAGCTTGTGGTGGTTGTTTTTGGGATAGAATCTTGCTGTGCAACCTAAGAACTAAGGATTCAGCTTTAAAGGTTTCTTAGCTCAGCATCCCAGGACTTGGATCACACATGGGCCTGGCTGCTTTTGTTCTCTTTGTTAATTTCCCTTACTGAAAATATATATATTTTTTCACATATAATATATCCTGATAGGGTTTCCCTTTACTCTACTCCTAACAATCATCTGCCACCTTCCCTCCCATCAGAATTCACCCCTTTTCTGTTTCTCTTTTTTTTCTTTTATCATTTTTTATTTTAATTTTAAATAGCTTGTTTTACATGTCAATCCCAGTTCCCTCTTCCTCCCCTCCTCCCGCACTCCCCTTCCCCTCCAGCCTCCCACCCTATTGCCAAATCCTTCCACATAGGGGATATCTAGAGTCTGTCATTTCACTCCGGGTAGAGCCCAGGCACTCCCCTAAGAGTCCAGGCTGAGAGAGCATCCCTCTTTGTGCTATAGGCACACGAAGCCTGTTTGTATTCCAGGGATAGACACTGATCCATTGCTCAGGGCCCCATAGGTTGCCCAGGCCTTCTCGCTGACACTCACATTTGGGGGTCCAGATCAGTCCCATGCTGGCCTCCCCTGTTCAGATCAGCTGTCTCTGCTGGTTTTGCCAGCCCATTCTTTGCCAATTTGCTCATCACTCCTCTCTCTCTGTCACTGGGTTCCTTGGGTTCAGTTCAGTGCTTAATTGTGTGTTTGCCTCTGCTTCCATTAATCACTGGATGAAGGCTCCCGGATGGTTATAAACATCAAGTTCATTATCAGGAATGGGCATTCGAGGTGGTCTCTCCACTATTGCTTAGCTTGCCAATTGGTGTTATCCCTTTAGATCACTAGAGGTCACTCTGGTGCCTGATCTGTCTTCTAACCTATGATTCCCTCTTCCCCCTATTCTACCTCCACCCACTCAACTTCCTGTTTCCCCATGACCTACTCTCAGGATCCTAAAGGATAATAATAATAGTAGAAAATGTTGAAAATGACAAATTAAGGGAACTAAAGGAAAAGAGACCAAGAAAAGGAACAAGAAACAGTTTATAGATGCAGAGACTCACTTATTTGCATACACAGGAATAATTAAATACACCAAACTGGAATCCCTAATAAATAATGTCAATGACCTGTATACCTGAATGTTATAAACTACAACCTAAGTATTAAAAAGCCCTTTCATAAAATTGCTTGACAAGGAATGCCCAAGATGCAATTGAGTTCATGTTCTGTTGGCCATCTACTGCTGAGAAAGGGCCTACATTTAAGAGTAATTTGTTTTCCCGGTGATACTCCCTTGTTGAAACCAAATTTTGATTTGCAAGTGGATATCAATTCTACTTTTCCTTTCAGCTCCAGGAAACCATCTATTACAGGCACCTGCAGGCCCTGTGTATACTGAATCAGTCTCTGTGAGTTCTTATATGAGCTAATCCTATCAATTTAGAAGATTTCCTTACCTAAGTGTCCTCTATCCCCTCTGGCTCTTCTACTCTTTCTGCCTCCTTTTCCACCTCAAAGGTAGATTCATAGTATGATATTTAATTTAGCATAAAGAGACATTTTACAGACACAGTTCTTTTCTAATTTTCCCTTACACATAATAAAACATTAAATTTGATTACTATACATATACTTCTTCACTTTAAAGAAAATTAGATGAGGTTGGAAAACTACAGCACACATGAATCAAGGAGAACATTATGAAGACTGAAAATCAACAAATGGCAGAGGGTCAGTTTTTCTCAATGTAATGCTGTAGGTATAGGGTATGCTGTCATTTTGAGAACACTAACACACTTTCCCCTTATTTCCCACTTCTATGCTATAATTTTGTATATTCAATGATATTCTTACATTATTGCAACAATTTTAGTCTACACAAAGCTTATTGTTTGGTGTGCAATGTGAGGGAAACCACTCTTTATAAGGAAGTAATGACACAAATGACAAAGCTTTGCCTTGATTTTGGTATTGATTAATTTTACTGTGGTTGCAATTATTTCCTTAAATACAATGGCTTAAATTTATAGGAATTGTTAAGCTACAATTCTAGAGACATGTTTAAAATTGATTTGAACTGGCTCAAACTGATGCTTGGCCTGCACATCACTCCTCCTCAGTATTCCAAGAGCAGAGATACACAAATAGTATTGAGTTTCATGCAGCTGCTGGAATGCCTATCTGTATGCTTGTGTCACATCGTATTCTACCTTGTGGTCATAAAGAGAGAAGTATGTATATGAATAAGTTCATGTACCCAACACTCAGGAAAATCTTTCTTCAAACATACTTATGCTATCCTTACTGTCCAGCCAGTGACAGCAATATTTTTATTATAATCAAACTATTTCAGTATGTTTAAATCCTTTGTCTTCCATCAGTTTCTATTCCTCTTGCATGTTTATAAAGATTACGCTATCCATCAGCAAATTATATTGTTTGATAATGCACAAAAATGCCTCTGACTTTCTCAAACACACACACAGACAAACCATTTCTCAAGTATTGATGACTATTTGCTCTGGAGGAAAGAAAAAATACAAAGATAAGATGAGAACTTCTTATGTTCCTTTATTTTACTTTTTCTCAATTTTAGGATGACTTCCTTAGCCCAACTAGCTTTTTCAATGCATTCTTTACATCCTTGTTCCTGAGGCTGTATATTAGGGGATTCAGCATTGGGATCACTGTGGTATAGAACACTGAGGACACTTTCTCCTCTTCCATGTTATTGCTGGAAGGTGGCTTGAAATACATGAATGTTATAGACCCAAAGAAGATTCCCACAGCCAGAATATGAGAGCTACAAGTGCCAAAGGCTTTGGAACGCCCTTCAGTGGAGCGAATGCGGAGAATACTAGTTAAGATGAAAGCATAGGAGATGATGACAGCCAGTGTAGGTGCTAGGGTATTGATTCCACCAATAATAAATAGCAGTATCTCATTGATATGGGTGCTGGAGCAAGAAAGAGTCAACAAGGGCAGAATGTCACAAAAATAGTGGCTGACAACATGAGACCCACAGAAGGACAACATTGTCATGCGAGTGGTATGGACAGTAGCCCCAAAGAAACCCAGTGAGTAAACCACAGCCATCATCATGTAACAGACCCTTTGCGACATGACAATGTTGTAAAGCAGTGGGCTGCAGATGGCAACATAGCGGTCATAGGCCATGGCTGTCAGGAGGTAGCCTTCTGCGATGGCCAGAAGGAGAAAGAAGTAAAGTTGAGCCATGCACTCCAGAAAGGAGATGATGTTCTTCTCAGACACAAAGTTCACCAACATCTTAGGTGTGATGACAGAGGAGTAGCAGAGGTCAATGAAGGATAAATGGCTGAGAAAATAATACATTGGGGAGTGAAGTTGAGAACTGATGGCGATTAAAAGTATCATGCCAAGGTTCCCCACCACCGTGATCATATATATTATAAGAAAGAAGAGGAAGAGTGGCAACTGAAGCTCTGGACGTTTTGTCAGGCCTTCAAGGATGAAGTCAGTCTCTGCAGAATGGTTCATAGTAGCCAATACTCATAAACAGTATCTAAAAGGAGAATGGAGAGAAAGGTTGATGGTCACTCTTAATTTCTGTCTCTCTTTGATGGATTCCATTTCTGGTAACCTCATTTCTCCCATACCTCTGTGTACTCCTTAGACTGTTTTAAAACATTACTTATTTTATTTCAATAAGTCATCACATAATAACATCATTTTCTTTTACTACATGAAAGCCTTCCCATATTTTTCTCCTTGTTCCATTTAAATATCATAACCTCCTTTTCATTAATTATTGTTACATGCATATATCTATATGTATATACATATATGTTCCTTATTGCAACCTGCTTTCATTGTATTGTGTAATTTGTATGAATGTTGTAGTGATTATTCTTTGGAATTGTACAATTCCCTAGGTTTGGTTATTTCTCTTGCTTTCAGCAAATCTTAGGTGTCTGTGATTCTTATATAATCTTGAGGCCACATGGTTAAAATTTTATAGACAAAGCCAGATGTTAACAGTCTTAGTTGATCTCCAGTTTATTGGAGATTCTTCTGTGTCTTTTAAGTTTGTACACAAACTTAACTCTGCAAATACTACAAAGTATGAATAAGCACAATCTCTGACCTAATTATTATGTTTGTATAATAAAAGAGTACTTACCATTTTTAACTAAGTACATACCAAAGGAGTCATTGTCTTTACAAAATTTAGTTTTCAATATAGTTTAGGTAATCTAAAAATATTTTCTTTCAATTTCTCAATGCATTTACATGACTTGACATCAAAGTCTCTAAACCTGGGAACCAACACACAATAAACTGAGTTTCTAAAGCTGGAAGAATCTATGTTAAAAAGCAAAAAAGATTATAGTAACTTCAAGTCTATCCTCCCTAGACTTGCCATTTTTCACATCCTTCTCAGAAGAGAAAGCTAGAATAGATTAAGGCATTCTCCTTAGTATTGATATAACAAATTGAAATGTGCTTTTATACTCTAACCATAAAGTATTGCTGAGGCCAGCCCTGTCCTTAAATGACCAAAGCAGAGCTGACCTCCAGGTGTAATTGAAGAAACACCAGTAAATCGGTGTTTACTTCACGGACTTATTTTCCTTGCAATATTTGAAGCCAAACTCTGTGATCTTCTATTAGATCAGAACTCTAGGCTTTCTTATTTAATTTTTTTTAGACCACCAAAAGTTCAATAGTCGGAATATGTGCCTCTTCAAAGGTAATGGTGATAATTTTATTGATTAATTTTGTATGGAACTTGTCCCTGCAGATGTTAGCGAAGGCACAGCACTTAAGAATATTGACTATTCCTCCAGAGAGCATGGGCTCATTTCCTAGTACACACCTAGCAACTTAAAACCATTTGTAACTCCAGTCCCAGAGTTTCCTCCTGTGACCTCTGTGGGCACCAGGTGTGCATATGATGCATTGACAGACACACAGACCAAACACCCATGCACATAAAATTAGTATAAGTAATATACTATAGTAATATTAGTAATATATTACTAGAAATTTCACGACAGGAAAATAGAAAATGTCATGAAATCAATATAGTCTTAAAGCACAGTTTTTTAATTTGAGAAAAATAAATGGAGAAAACATTCATGTGTACAATAAATAACCAACATTTTTTGTATAGAAAGTATTCTTAAGAGCCAAAAATATCAGAGAAATGTGTTTCAATATGGTTTTGAAGGCCTTCTACAGCTTCTTAAGAGGATTCTAAGTATCTGTGTACTTTTAAACCAGATTTGAGGACTATTATTGCACAGGATGGATTAGAATATTAACAACAAGAATTGAGTAATAAATAGAGTAATAAATCTGAATGTCTAAAAAAAGTGATTCTCTAGCCTTGACTACATAGCGATTGCCTGTCACAGAAAACAAAACAAAATGGACCATACTCTTAGGACAGTTTGAGAGTTACTAAGATGTTCAGTGCTGTTAGACTGGAATACCTTCAGATGGATGCTCTGAACTTGATCAGTTAAGAATATGAATCAGATTGAGACATTTTTAGTTTATACCCATAGATAGCCCACCACCCCATGTAGCACAGCAAGAAAACAGTTTGTGACACTTAGTAGGTACCACAGTTTTGGTTAGGTGCAAACATTACTCACTGAATTTCCTTTTGTAAGAAAAAGTTATCCAGGTAAACTACAGATGATTTTTGCTCATTGTGGCAGCACAAACAAACCCCATCATTGTATGTTTTGGTAGAGGTCAATAGCAGATGAGCACGGACATATCTTTTATCTGGGGATACTTAGTGAGTTCAAATCTCAGGGCTGCCAAAAAGTATTTATACATAACAAATATAGAGATCATAATATCCACATAGTTAGATTCATTCTTTTGGATGCAATTTTTAAAATTTACTAACAACTTATCGATACACTTCTGTCCCTCAGTAGCTGCAGGGTTAGACATCTGAGTCAAGTCTCTCCTAGAAAATGTCCAAGCGTTTGCACACAGCTGGTACACATCCTTCTGTATACACAGATCCTCTCTTGATTACTTACAATGCTGTATAACTGCCCTTTAGTTATTTTCACGTGTGAAGAACACATACAAAACAGATTTACACGTGCTCAGTACAGACAAAAGTGCTTTAAGTATTTGTGGTCAGTAGTTAAATAAATCCACATATGGATCCCAAAGGCACCAAAGACCAATTGCAGAAGAGAAATTTAGATGTTCAGACAAAGGTACGTAAAAACACACAGTGTATCTATACATACTTTTCCTTAAATCTGTTGCTATTACAGGATTCAATACTCAAATAGCTCTTGGACAGAAGGTTGCACTGTCAGTCAGCCCAGGAGCATCTTAGAGTTACTTGGAAAACTTTAAATAAACCTATTCCTAGTAATGAATAGGCCTACATTTATGTTCCAAATGACAATGCTGAAGACTTCTGGCTAGATTCAATTTTTAGGCGTTTTATTTGAGAAGAATCTTTGGAAGACCACAAACTTGTTCTGCAGACTTAGGATTCACTAGAGCATAAAGCTGTTGATAAGGTTTCTAATGAAGGCTGTAGTTTGGACCTCTAAATGCTAATTTGTGATTTACTAGTATTCTGCCTCCCTGGTTCTACAGGGAGCTAAGATTCATTCGTGCCCCCGCCCGCCTGCTGCATGAAGCCCTAGCAGGGTGCCCAGGTCCTAGACAACCACTTGTCCATACTCAAACCCGTTAACGCAGCCATGCAGCCACGCAGCCATGCAAACACTACTTGTTGCATGGTAAACCTGAAGTCACGGGTGGCCAGGGAACCTACAGGATGAGGAACTGAGTGCGCCCACCTTGCCCACGGGCTCAGTCCAGGAGGCGGGGAGCACTGTCAGAGGGTGGGGTGCGTGTGTTGTGTGAGGACTTGAGCTCAGGTGCTCTGAGGGCCCATAGAGAAGAAGCTCAGTGACATCCAGAGTTTAAGGCCTTGGTTAGGCTGTAGATCCGTCCCCAGCGAGGAAGGGCCTAGCTCGCAGAGCAGCCATCTCGCTGCGGGGTCGGGGACCGGTGCTTGGCGAGCTTTGCCCGATGGCGGGCTGCCAAGTGAGTATGGACGGCGACAGGGCAGGAGCGGGAGGAGCAGCGAGTAGAGGGAGGCGGTCCGCGAGCGGGCAGGGTGGCAGAGGGTTGGGGCCCGAGCGGTGGCTTTAGGTGGACAGTGAAGGGGGCGGCGAGCGGGCCAGCGCGCGGGACTGAGCGGCGGCAAATGGGAGGACGGGGCGCTGGTCGGCGGTGAGTGTGGATCCCGGCCGTCCGCCAGGGGTCGGGCACGTGGAGTCCCGGGCGGGGCAGTGAGCGTGGAAGAAGGGGCGGCGGGTGTAGGGCGACTGGCGTGAGGGGGTCGGGATCTGTGGGAGGTCGGAGGCCGGCGGTGCTGGCGGTGCGGGCGGTGCGTGTGTGTGTGCGTGTGTGTGTGCGTGTGTGTGTGTGCGTGTGTGTGTGCGTGTGTGTATGTCTGTGTGTGTGTGTGAAGGACAAGCGGCTGCTGCTGCTGTTAGTGAGGAGGTGTTGAGGGTTTGTGGATCGCGAGTTTCTTGTGAGTGTCCGGGCCTGAGAGCAAGTGTGGAGGGCGGCGGGAGTCGGGCAGCAGGCGGGCGGGGCGCCACTGTCGGGGGCGTGTCCGTGAGGTGCACGTCATCGCTCTGCAGATTCGAGTAGGACTGTGTCGCAGATTACTCTCGCCGGTTGTGGTGGCGCGCACCGGTAGGATTTGCTGAAGGAGGCAGAGGCAGGAGGATCTTGAGTTCGAGGCCAGCCTGGACTACACTTTTTTCTCCTCGCCTCTGGCCTTTCCATCTCAGTATGAACTGCTTTTGCTGCAACACTGTGGAGACCCAGCTGGCAGGCAGGAAATTTTACTTCATCCTCCTGTCTCTGCGTCCACCTGCCTGCAAGGATTAGACGTGGGAAACCCCACCCACATGCTCTGTCTGTCTGCCTGTCTGTCTGTCTCACTCTCTCTGGCCCTCCCTTTCAGTCGGCCTCTGTCTCTCTGTCTCTCTGCCTCTGTCTGTCTCTCTGTCTCTCTGTATATGTGTGTGTGCGTGCGTTTTCCACGTTTGCTATAAGTTTGATACTTTTATGATCATATATTATTTAATTTATACAAATATCTAGCAGAAATACTTGTATATTGTGTTTAGTGAGCTTTTATGCCTCCCTCAAATTGCACATCTACTTCTGAATCAGGTAACTTTTAAACTTTGAACAGTTATGGATAAAAGTTACAGTGGGGACGTTCAGGTCTTGCTGGTATAGGGTCTCTGGACTCTGGTGGTAGAAGAAGACATGGGGGATAAGGAAGGTTGAGTCGGGGTAAGAATAGAGTAGAGCATGATGAGAGATATCTTAATAGATGGAGTCATTATAGCTTTGAGGAGAGAGCTGACACTAGTGAGATTTCCAGAGATCTACAAGGATAACATCACCTGGCAAACTAAGTAATAGCTGAGAGAACACCTTAATAGCCCCTCACTGATGATAAGATTGATACCTACCTTATATGCC